TTTTTTTTTTTTTTTTTTGGTTTTTTTTTTTTTTTTTTTTTTTTCTTAAATTAGGCCCACCTTTTTTTTTTTTTTTTTTTTTAACCCATTAATTTATTTTACTTTTAAGGAAGAAGACTGGACTATGAAGAATCAATTTCTTGTTTCTAATTTCAAAAGATTAATTTCATTCGCCTTTTTTTTTTTTGACCATTACATTCTTTAAATGGATCGATGATTAGAAGACCTACTGTTACTGAGCATACTGTACTGCAATATGAATAGGAGCATAGGCCTATACATAATTGTAGTAACTAATAGGTCTTATACCATAAGTAGCCTAATTGACTTTCAACACTCACTAACGTAACTAACAACTGTCAGTGTGTGACTGAAAAGTTCAGCACTCATGCCCATGCACTGTTTGAGTTTGTTGTCAGTTTGAGTTCTTAAGACTTAAGTTAAGAGAAGATTGTCTTGAACTTGAATAAAGTAATAAAGACTTTCATTTTACTACCTAAGAGTTAATAAAACTGAAGTCTATCAAGTGACTTCAATTATTCTATTTGGGCTTCAGCGGCCTTACACATTCACGGTCTCAACCATTCTGGTTCTAATTATCTAATCCTTGAACTTGAAAAATCTTGCAACTTGCAGCATTTTTTCCAAAACCAAGCGGACTACACTACTGAACTTGAACATCAGACATCAGGTAGGTCTTCAGTCTTCTTTTACTTCTTAACTTAACTTGATGAATTATTTATAATACAATATATTATATATGAATATGCCTAGGTGAAAGTGCGGAGCGAGGATTGAATCGGCCTGGGATCCCGGGACCTGTTGACTATTAATTTATGGGGCTAATGGTACTAATTGGGAATGTTTTGAATTCTAATGATGGCATTTGATAGCTCAGGTCTCAATTTATCTAAAAAATTTCAGTTTATTGGTATATTCGAAGAGACTCTGTAAATATTTATTGCCAGAAAATAACACTTCTAGACTATAGGCCTACATCTGAATATAAGTTATACTTTTTCAGTATGCTTTTGCTATAGATGCAGAAGGTATAGTTCTAATAAGTGCAAGTATTAATTAATGAGATCTGTAGTCATGTTTGGTATTCAAACCTTGAATAAATGTCCTCAATACTTTAATAATCGTTCTCTTCATTGCAAAATACTTTCTAGACTAATTTCAGTCTGTTCTGTTAAACCTTTCTTCAAATTTCAAAATTTAGACACAAAATCTAGAAGATCTTCATGACTTCTGTTTGCTCTTGCTTTGGCATTGAATTGCAAAATGTTGTTGCCGAGACGTTTCTGCTAGACTCCATCAAGTTCATCAAAATTTCTCTGATCGAGGCATGCCATACTTGCAACTATATTTCCTGAATATTTTTTGTGAAAATGTTTCAACTGGGTCTTAAAAGCACGATAATTGACATTTAAACAAAATTTTTGAATTGGATCAAACAATGGTTCATCATCTGCAATATCTCCATCAAACACTTTCTTTTTCCTAAGATGCGGTAACTCTGTTTCAACTTTTAAGTCCTTAGAGCAAATATATAACTGAGCATTCATCGTTTGTTGACATTTTATGTGGCTTTATTACCAACGTGGCATTATTGTGAAATGTTATTTAATTTGTCAATTTTTCTTTTCATTATCCTCTGGGGCCTGCAACAAATCAAGAGTTGTGGCTTTCAAAATTTGCAAAGAGAATTGTTAAAATAGTTTCGTAACATAACAAAGTACTCTTGAGATAATTTCCTTTGAAATTGTACTTTCCTATTTAATTTTTGCATTTCATGCGATTTTTTAAATGTCCTTACTGTAGCTATGATAATCTACCATTTGGGTCATGAAAATTTCAGAAAGCCTTTTGTCAATAAAGCATCTTTCGTCAATAAAGCATCTTTCGTCCATCATCTAGTAGTACCATTTTGTATTAAAGAGACGGCTATCTCCTTTTTTTTTTCCCTCCATTATAGCACCCAATTATCCATTGCTGTGCAATGGCTACAGCATTTCTTAGTTAAAGGAGAGCAACAAATTATAAAGTCAAAATGACTTTAGTTTATGTTAGAGGGAGAGGAGAGTATCTAAATACTTAATAATTTAATACCAAAAATATTAAAACTTTCTTTTATTTTGTTCAAAAGCTTTCATTTACTGTTACTGTTGCAGTGAAACTTTTTTCATTTAGTTGAAATATAAGTTTCAAAAGCAACATTCAGGTGTACCGTGGCCAGAGAATTGGTACAATGGGGATTCCCATTTAGTAAAAGGGGAGGTTTCTGTTCATTCCCTGTCCGTAAGCTTCTAGCGAAAGGAAAGAAATTTGCCCTGCGTCAATAATTATTTTGTCTACATTATTGATAGTACATATTGTAGAAAAGGTAATAATATAGTACTAAGGTTACCATGGCTAACTGATATCTGCATTTAAAGCCTCTTTAATCTCTAAAATGGACATTGTATTTATTGAAATAATTGCATTTCTTAGACAGTGGTACAATCAGCTCACCTAACACTATTTTATTCTCAATGTCTCATTGTTTTCTTATGTCTTCTTATGTTTTCTCTTGTCTAAATTAACAAATTTTAAATGGACAATGATGCCAGTTTTGTCCTCTACTGGAACTGGACACTGATGTCAGTGTTGTCCTCTACTGGAACTGGACACTGATGTCAGTGTTGTCCTCTACTGGAACTGTACACTGATACCAGTGTGATTCTTTACAGACACTGGTCACTGATGCCAGTTGGGTCCTCTGCTGGGCGAATAAATATGTAAACATTTAGGAGCCAGCACCATTTCTTATGAACCAGCATTTTTTTTTTGGCTCAAAGTCGGCAACTTGTTGACACGAGGATCCAGACTTGTCTACCCCTGATAATTAATTTAAATATCTTATCATAGTTGGATAGAAGATCTGACCTCTCTTAAGGAAAGACCTTGAAATGTTCATGAAGAATGAAGTAAGAAATACAATTGTGGAAAGTCATGTAACTAATTTTTTAAATCTGCAACGTTGATTTCAGAATTTTTTTTTTTTTTCCATTTGATTAGATCCATTTCTTGTTTCTTCACACAGTATTGCACATTATATAGAAAGCAAAGTGACGTATTGCAGCTAAACTGATATTTGACAATAAATGTAATACAATGACTAAAAGGGTATGAAACAAGGAAGACATTTCTGTCAATTTTTTTTCCAAACAATTAAGTCGCTAAAGAAACATGACACATGATCTCCCAGAGGCTGTTAAGAGACTGTTTAGAGGCTGTTTAGTTAGTTTTGAGGCTGTTGAAAGGCTTTTTACTGACTGTTTACAGACAAGTCTGTTTAGAGGTTGTTGAGAGACGATTTAGAGGCTCTTAAGAGACGTTTTAGAGACTGTGTCGAGGCTGTTAAGAAACTGTTTAGAGGCTGTTAAGAGACTCTTTAGGCATGATCAAGACACAAAAATCTGCTTTAAAATAAACATTTCTTATGGCCAGGGGGGGGGGGGGCGCAAAAATGTCTCAGTGGTTTGAATAAGCTATTATTGAGCTTTAGATTACATGCCAGAAATCTGAAGCTGTCTGTGACTTTG